CTATCAGGAGAGTGTGATGAGAATTTGAATCAGTTAATTTGAACAGGAGCAAAAGAGGTACAAGGCGAGATCTGATAATCCAATGTACATAACCTCTTCTTCTTCTTCTTCCAAATGCTTTCTGCTAATTTACCTCTAAAAATTTTAACGTTCAAACGTGTTCGATTGGTCAGAGAACGAGTATATTTTAATTTTAGTAGAGTTCGCTTATTGCACTGTCAGGAGAGTGTGATGAGAATTTGAATCGGTTAATTTGAACAGGAGCAAAAGAGGTACAAGGGTCAGGCGAGATCTGACAATCCAATATACATAACCTTCCAAATGCTTTCTGCTAATTTAAAAACTTTNAATCCGTTAATTTGAACAGGAGCAAAAGAGGTACAAGGGTCAGGCGAGATCCGACAATCCGCCGCACATTTTCGCGGTGGCCGACGCCGCGTATCAAGCGTTGTTGCATCAGCGGCAAAATCAAGCGATCGTGATCAGCGGTGAGTCGGGGGCGGGGAAAACCGAGAGCGCGAATCTGCTGTTGAAACAATTGGTCTACCTCAGCAAAGCACCGAATCGGAACTTGGAGGAGAGGATCCTTCAAATAAATCCGATAATGGAGGCGTTTGGTAACGCGACCACCGGGATTAACGCCAACTCGTCCAGATTTGGAAAATACTTGGACCTGACCATGACCAAAGGTGGTAAAGTGACAGGAGCCAGGATATACGTGTATCTGTTGGAACAGTCTCGAGTTGTCGCTCAAGCCGAGTAAGTTTTTCTTGTATACGCGTGTATGTGTTTGCGCGTATAGGTTTTTAATAGATTGTACGATTTCGTGTTTCAGAGGGGAACGTAATTTTCATATATTTTATTACATGTACGATGGCCTGGAGGCGGACGGCCGCCTCTCTGAATTCCATTTGGATCTGAATCTTCGAAAGAATCATCGATTCTTGACCGATCATTGTCAAACGTCTCAAACGCATATAGACAAGTTCCAACAGTTGAAAGCCGGGTTTAAACTGCTTGGATTTCAAGACGGGGAAGTTGATACGGTGTATCGTATCCTGGCAGCTATACTTCATCTCGGTGATATCGAGTTTAGCGAGGTGGCCAGCGAGGATAACACCGATAATAAGAGCCACGTGATTCAAGTCGAGCCTTTGCGTAAAGGTGAAAATGTTTCTCCCTTTTCTTTCTCTTTTCAAAATTATTTTTTTGTAAATCTAAAAAATTCTAAAAAATTTTTAGAAAGCGAAATAGAGAGTAGTCGGAGTTGGGCATTAAAAATTTCGAATAAAGTTACTTTTAAGCAATTATATTATATTAAAATGCTTAAAATAATATTTTAGCTATCGTAGTTGATTCGTATGACTTCGACCGTTTGACATAAATTATTAATGATAAATTATCGAAGTATTTATTCGTAAGTTCAACTATTAAATTTTTCCATCACGTAACATCTCGTTGGAAAATATATCTTTGGAGGATCCAATTTCAATAACTTAAAGTTAACGATCTTCGATCCATCTCTATCATCTTTAAAATCGACGAAATCCTTT